GTCAACGCCATCGAGCGCGCGCGTGACAACCTTGCTGATTTACGCCAACACCGCTCGGTCGCTGAGTACATCAATCGCTTCCGCGAGCTCGTGCTTGAGATTCCTGACATCCCTGCTGCTGAACAGATGGACAAATTCAAGCGTGGGCTGAAGCCGAAAATCCGCACCGAGGTTGAACTTCGTGGCGCTGCGACGCTGGATGAGATGATTCGTGTCGCCGAGCGTTTTGACACCATCAACTTCGCAGCGTACCAGCGATTCCAAGGGCGAACCGGGCAGCACGCAGTAGCTGGACCTACTATCCGCACCAACGGTCCTACTCCCATGGAGCTCGGTGTGGTGGACCAGCGCACACGCAACCAATCCACGCTCACGTGCTACTCGTGCGGGAAAGTCGGCCACATCAAGCGACACTGCCCGAACCGCCGCAACTTCGAAAGGTCTCCGGGAAACGGACAGCGCCAGTAGCAGTGGGGCAGACCTCTGGCGCATCGCATGCCCCGCTTCTCCCGACCCCATTATCCATCGGCACCTCCGAACTCTACACCACATCAAACGCCCCATTCCCCGCTATCATTCTATGGGCAAAAATAAAGGATCGCTATGTTGACTTTCTACTCGATACCGGCGCTTCAGCAAACTTTCTCTCTCCCTCTATTGTGGCTGAACTTTCTCTTCCCGAAGATCCCAACAGCAACCCACAGGACGTCATCATGGCAGATGGTACTCGGCGGCGCTGCGGACCTACTCTCCTCCTCGTGCACTGCATGTTCGGAAGTCTGGAGGCGACGGTCACGTTCGAGCAAATGCACCTCGGCGGCTATGAAGGCGTGCTCGGACGACCGTGGTTGTACCAGCTTGGACCGCGAATTTATTGGCGTAACGCAACGGTCACCGTCGGCAACTACGACCTCCCATCCCGCTCCTACCGCCGCCCATGGTCATCCACAACAACTTCAGCCTCATCAACCCATCCACCCCAACCTGCCCCACCTCCAGCCTCCCATATCCCCCCTCTTCCTCCTCCTCTCATAGCCCCCGCGCAGCAGCCAACACCACCCGGCTCCCCCGAAGTCATCAACACACCTCCTCCTTCCCCACCCCACCCAACCCAGCAGCCACGCCGTTACCTCTTCCGCCCTTTCTCTGAAGTTATCAACCCACCAGCCCCCACCCCTCCTTCATCACCTCCTCCTCATCATCTCCTAGTCATCTTCACAGCTCCTGAATCTGAAGCATCAGCTACCCCTCTGCCACCAACAATTCAGAATCTTCTAAACGGTTATAAGGACGTTTTTCCCGATGATCTACCCGCCGAACTTCCACCCGAACGTGCTATTGACCATAGCATCCGCCTCATTCCAGGTTCTACACCGCCCGTGCGCCCAACCTATCGCATGAGCACCGCTGAACTTTTGGAGCTACGCCGACAACTTGATGGCCTTCTTGAGAAGGGTTTCATCCGCCCAAGCACCTCGCCATACGCTGCCCCCGTACTTTTCACTCGCAAGAAGGAAGGTGACCTGCGTCTTTGCATCGACTACCGCGCCCTCAACGCCATCACGATCAAGAACAAGTACCCGCTGCCCCGTGTCGAGGAGTTGTTTGACATGCTTGGGGAAGCAACGGTTTTCAGCAAGCTTGACCTACGCTCCGGCTACCACCAGATCCGCCTCGCCGAAGACGACATCAACAAGACGGCGTTTCGAACCCGCTACGGCCACTTCGAGTTCCGAGTACTTCCGTTCGGTCTCACCAACGCACCAGCCACGTTCATGGGACTCATGAACGATATTTTTCGGCCCTTCCTCGACCGCTTTGTCATCGTGTTCCTCGATGACATCCTCATCTTCAGCAAGTCACTCGAGGAACACGCTCAGCACCTACGCATCGTCCTCGACACGCTCCGCCAACACCGCCTCTACGCCAAGCTCTCCAAGTGCACCTTCGCCCGTTCAAGCATCGGCTTTCTTGGCCACGTCATCAGCTCCAAAGGCATTGCTATGGACCCCACAAAGGTCCAGTGCCTTGCTGATTGGCCAGCACCACGCACGGTAGCGGAGCTGCAAAGTTTCATCGGCCTCGCCAAGTATTACCGAAAGTTCATCTTCAACTTCTCTCACATCTGCGCTCCGTTGACCGATCTCTTCCGCCAAGGAGCTGTTTTTCAGTGGGGACTACCGCAGCAGACAGCTTTCACCACAATCAAATCGGCACTCACCTCTGCACCGGTCCTAACCGTTGCTGATCCATCACGGCCATACTTCATATGGACCGACGCCTCCGATGTCGCTGTTGGTGCCATTCTTTGCCAAGACCACAGACATGGGATGCAGCCACTCGCATTCGAGTCACGCAAGCTTCAACCGGCAGAGCGCAACTACGCAACACACGATCGGGAGCTCCTTGCCATTGTCCATGCAATCAAGACATGGCGCTGCTACGTGGAGCTGCAGCCCGTCACCGTCTACACCGACCATCGCCCACCTCAACACTTGAAAACGCAGCCCGTGCTCAGCCGCCGCCAAGCCCGATGGGTTGAGTTCTTGGAGCAGTTTGTCCCATCGCTTCAGATCATCTACCACCCCGGGAAGCTCAATCCAGCCGACATCTTGTCCCGGCCACCACCACCAGCCCCACCAGCCACCAACCAGCCCCACCCACCCACCAACCAGCCCCAACACTCCCCAACCAGCCCCACCTCATCTCCTCCACCTAAAACTCCCAACCCACCCTTGCAACTCCATGGAACCAGCAGCATCACATGGGATGATACCTTCATCACAAAGTTTCAGCGCGCCTACAAACGTGACCTGTTTTTTGTCAAGCAAGCACCCGAGGGCCCGGCCTACTCATTTGAAGACCCATTTTGGTACAACGCCGTTACAAAGACCATTTGTGTCCCTGCTGATCGCTCCTTACGGCAGCTGCTACTTTCCGAATACCACGACACCGGCAGCCACTTTGGTGTTGAGAAGACCTACGCACGCCTTTCCAACGACTACCATTGGCCACGCATGCACGCTGATGTGCGTGACTTCATACGCACATGCCGAACCTGTCAACAACTCAAAGCACGCACCACCAACCGCTACGGACTCCTTCAACCTATCCCTCCACCTACCAAGGTGTGGGATGAAGTCACCATGGACTTTATCATGGACCTGCCCCGCACACCCCGCAACTACAACGCCATCCTAGTCGTCGTTGACCGACTCTCCAAAATGAGCCATTTCATCCCCACGCACACAACCGTCACCGCACCCGAAACAGCCCGGATTTTCTTCGATCACATAGTCCGTTTACACGGCCTCCCATCCGCCATCATTTCAGACCGTGACCCTCGCTTCTTGAGCAACTTTTGGCACAGCCTCTTTAAGCTTCACGGCACCCGGCTGAAATTTTCTACCGCATATCACCCTGAAACGGACGGACAAACTGAACGGATGAACCGCACGCTTGAAGACGCCCTTCGTGCACAAGTTAACGCTCGCCAAACCGATTGGGACCTCCACCTCACCGCCATCGAACTCGCATACAACAGCACATCCCATCTTTCCACCGGCCAGCCACCCTTCTACCTCGCAACCGGACAGCACCCACGCCTCCCAACGACCCCACCCTCCCACCTCTCCCACGCACCAGCAGCCTTTGAGTTCCTCACCTCACTCGAATCAGCCATTGATGCCGCTCGCACCTCCATCCTTAAAGCACAAGCCAAACAGACCCACTATGCCAACTCCCACCGCAAAGATATCCGCTTCAAGGTTGGCGATCAAGTGCTTCTCTCCACGGACCACTTACCTCTCCTACGCAAAGGCACAACCAGAAAACTCGCCCCTCGCTTCATTGGCCCGTTCACTATCACCCGAGTCCTCTCACCAGTCAACTACCGGCTCCAACTGCCCAGCTATATGAAGATTCACCCCGTCTTCCATGTCCAGCGCCTCCGCCCTTATTGTGCACCTTCACACGACCGTCCAGCCACACGCCACCTGCCACCGATGTTCGAAGGCAGCCCCGGCCTGTTTGAGGTTGCATCTATCACTGCTCACCGCGACACACCTCATGGTCGTGAGTTTCTTGTTCATTGGAAGGATCAGCCTGCTAGTGAGGACTCATGGGAACCTGAGAGCCACCTTGACCGTGCTGCAACTGCCGTGAACCGTTACTTGACCAGCCATGGTTTGGCGCCGTGGACGACGCCACTTGGAGGGGGAAGTAATGTAACAGTGCAGCAGCCGAATGCTGCCAACTGCAATGCAGGTGGGCGGAAGTCACTCGTAACAGTGCAGCAACACACTTCCAAGAACAGTGCAGGTGGGCGGAAGTCAAGCGCCACCTCACCTACAGTTCGGATTGGTCAAACGCCTCAACCTGCAGCTGGGCGACCAGATTCCGACACGCAGCCCAAGTCAATCCCACGCACGAAAATTACGAAACGCAGGACACCAAAGTTCCGACCGCTCGCCGACTTCGCCAACAACACCGACGAAATTACAGCCCCGTAACCAAGCTCGCCGGCCAATCCCGTACCGCAATAATTCTCTGAATTTCACGGCAGGTTCATTTCAAAGGGTTGGGTTACCATTGAGAAATTCAGAGAAAGTCGCGACTTGGGAGTGCGACTCGATGTTTGAATGTGCTCTATAAAATTGTACTCTGAAATTTGTGAAGTCATAATGCAATTTCCAGAAAATTCCAGAGAGCACTCTATACTCATTCTCCAAGCCTACTAAGGCTACTATCTCCCTGCCAGCAACGTTTCAATTTCCCTTCGATTAGGTTTGGACGGAAAATGGGAGCCTCGCCGCCGTTTGTCCTACGTATCGAGGCGTGCAGAACACCGTCATCCTGATTCCCCGCGCTGCTGCTGGCCCTTCCACGGCCCCTCGCGACGGCGGCTCAAAGCTTCGCTGGCGGCCATGTCGCCTCCGCAGGCGGGCCGAGCGAGACTCTCACATGGCGTCGCATTGGTGGCTCTCACCATAGCGTGCGCCATGCCCGCGCGCGTGGTCTGTCTCCCGACGACGCGGGCAGCAAGCGGAGCGTCGCACGACGAGTTCGGCGCGACGTGGCAGGTCCTACTCGATACTCTCGCTCAGTCGGGCCATTCTGGCTTTAAAGCGCTTCTGCAGCTTTCTGCTGTCAGCAGCGCCATCAGCGGCGTGCTCGACGGCGCGCCGTTCACGGTTTTCGCGCCGTCCGACGAGTCGCTGGTCAGGCTGCCCGCCGCGCTTGCCGCCACCTTACGGAACCCGTCCCACGTCGCGACCCTCCGCCAAGTCATGATGTACCATTTCGTTCGCCACAAGATCTCGCGCTTCGCGTGGGAGGGGCCCTGGCGAACCGTGCAAGGCGAGAGCCTCGTCCTACACCTGGATAGTAACGCGAGCTTCACTGTATCGGATGTGCCTGTATTGGAATACGCCGCCGCAGTCTCGACGAGCTTCGTAGTGCACGCGACGGACGGGCTTCTGTTCCCCCCCAGCACCCGCGCGCACGTCAGTCGCGCCCAGGGCCCCGCGCGGGAGACAGCTCGGCTGGCGGAGGCACGCGCGGCAGCGCAAAGTGAGGTCCCCTCGACGGGAGGAGGGGGAAGCGGAGCAAGCGGCGAGGAGGACTACACGGAGGAGTACGCGGAGGACTACGAGGAGGATGTGTGGCGGCGGGAGGCGCTCCAGCAGTACAACTCGCTGTACCTCTACGCTCCTGCTCCTGCGCCCGCCACATCATCCTCGTGTGTGTGGTGCAACCAGTGGGGGCTATGATGGCGCTACTCGTGAGCAGAGAGGATGGCTGTGATAGTCTCTCGAGTCGGTTTGTAGTGAGTGGCAGCAGCCAGCGCGGCTGTTTTGAGGGGTCAAGGCGGGCAAGCAGTGGCTCCTCGCAGCGTGCAGTGAGGCTGGCGTGTTTGCTGCACATGCGGGACTGCTAGGTGCAGTGCAGCAATGTGTGGGGAAGTCGCAGTGAGGTTGCATGCACACACAAGCAGAGCGGTGCTAGCGTTTCACCAACTCCTCCCCTCAATTTCGTCGCCCCATGCTCGCAGCTCTTTCAGCGGGAGCGATCGCGGGGATTGTGGTGGGGTGTGTGGCGGGAGTTGCCTTGGTGGCTGCGCTCCTCTATTACCTGCTCGCTTCCCGCCACAACAAGCACAGTCCCTTCAGGTCACTGGAAGGTACGAGGCAGTTTCCTGTCCGTGCGGGGTTGATCCCAACCCATGGCACGTATGGTCGCCACGCCACTGCCTTCGTTCCACACGCACTTCCAACCCCTTCTGCCTTCTCTCTTCTACCGACTCTTTCTGTCTTTCCCTTCCCAACCAACCCACTGTCACTCCTGCATCATGCCTCCATCGTGCCTCCCATCTTCAATGTCTCACCTTAATGTTTGCTCCCACCCTCTCCTCTCTCCCTTCCCACCCTACCCTCCTTTCTCCCAATCCCCCCCTCCCCACCCCACCCACTGTCAGACCCAAAAGAAGTTCCATCCAAGGCAGAACCAGCACCGGCTGAAGATGCTGCCACCGCTGGTGCTGGTGCTGGTGCTGGTGCTGGTGCTGGTGCTGGTGCTGGTGCTGCTGCTGGTGCTGCTGCTGGTGCTGGTGCTGCTGCTGCTGCTGCTGCTGCTGCTGGTGCTGGTGCTGGTGCTGCTGCTGGTGCTGCTGCTGGTGCTGCTGCTGGTGCTGCTGCTGGTGCTGCTGCTGGTGCTGGTGCTGGTGCTGGTGCTGGTGCTGGTGCTGGTGCTGGTGCTGGTGCTGCTGGTGCTGCTGGTGCTGCTGGTGCTGGTGCTGGTGTTGGTGCAGCAGGGCCGTCGAACCAGTCTGTACGAGCGGGGGCAGGCGGGGCGTTGCAGTGCCCGGAGTACCCCTTGGCGGTGCTCTTGCAGGCCACGGACAACTGGGCGGAGGAGCGCATCATAGGCAGGGGGGGCTTTGGTACCGTGTACAGTGCCGTGGACCCCACCAACCCCCACGTGCACTGGGCCGTCAAGCGCGCCACCGTCGCCGTTCAAACTTTCACTCAAGAGGTGCGCACTGCATGGGGAATGCGGGACGGACAGGGGGATGGGGGAAGGACAGGGTGGGGGATTGGGGAGGAGGGGGGAAGGGGGATGGGGAAGGACAGGGGGATGGGTGAAGGACAGGGGAATGGGCGAAGGACAGGGGGATGGGTGAAGGACAGGGGAATGGGCGAAGGACAGGGGGATGGGTGAAGGACAGGGGAATGGGCGAAGGACAGGGGGATGGGTGAAGGACAAGGAAATGGGTGAAGGACAGGGGAATGGGTGAAGGACAGGGGATTGCGCGGAAGGCAATGGGAGATGGGGACAGGGAAGTGGAACGAGGGAAGGAAAGGGGGATGCCGGGCAAGGGATGGGTGATGCGGGGGCGGAAAGGGGGATGGGGGTACGGACTAGTGGGATAGGGGAATGGAAGGGGGTTGGGGGAAGGGAAAGGGGATGCGGGAAGGGAAAGGTTGGGCCTCCTCCCACTTCAAAACCCTTCACCCGTCACTACCATTCCCTCACAAGCACTTCTCCACTCTCTCTTCTGCACACCACTCGTCTCCGGGCCTTTCCCGTCCCTCCCTTTTGTGCCCCTTCCGTTCCAGTCTCGTCCCATCCAATCCCATCCCTTCCCGTCCCGTCCATCTCATCACATCCACGACTTTCTTTCCCGCCCCTTCCCCTCCTTTCTTATGCGTCTCGCCCCTACCCGCCCTGTCCCGCCCCTCTCTTTTCCGTCCCTTCCCGTCGCGTCCGTCCCTTCCCATCCCGTCATGTTCCATCACTTCCTTCCTGCCCATTCCCTCTTATGCCTGCCCTTCCCGTCCCGTCCCGTCCCGTCCCGTCCCGTCCCTCCCTTTCCCGTATTTCCCTTCCCTTTCCGCCCCGTTCCTACCCGTTTCCCACCGTTCCTACGTTTTCCGTCCTTGCGTAATTGGGGTCGTGAACATAGTTCCTAAGAAGTCGTTCGCTAGACTCTAAAGTGCTCATCTTAATACCCTTTGACGTGTCTTCTTGCAAGCTTGAATGTGTTTCATGTTTCTCCACCTCCCCTAATTCGCGTGAGTCACGGCTTCGATCCCCCTTCTCCTGTGTTTACAACCCTTGCCGCACATCATGGCTTGTCCCTCGCTAATGCTGATTGGTAGTTGGGCACCTACCTACCACTACCATACTGTTGAGACTGCACCCAATCGTAGCTGCACTGCACCAAACCAACCTGGTTCAAGCGTATTACCCTTGGTTGAGAAACAAGAAAGATTCAAAGCCAGAGTGCACATCCAATGTGGCTGCTTTGGGCGAAAATCGTTGAGGTTTACAGAATATTAAAAACTATGTTGGAATATACGCTCAGACCCTAAAGCGTCTAGCGTTTACACGCTTGCGTTTATACTCAAAACGCTATACGCTTACTCATACGCTATACGCAGTCAGAATTTTTTTGGGCTGCCCGAGGGAAAAAAAATTGTGTATACGGAAAGATGCGGAATCTCCTGGTGAGCATTTCGCCGAAGTCGCGATGCATTTCGGTGCTCTAGGGAAGCGGGAATCTGCCTTCAAAGTTCAGTCACGTCTGGCAGTTCAGATCTACAATTTCAATTAGTACCGCATTGAAACCCTTCCCATCTAAGAACTCCAATCTGTCAATTTTTCCCCCCAACAAACCCCACTCACGCTACTCACCAGCCAGCCAAACTTCACTCGTCATTTCTAGGTTTCTTTCCTGCTTCCAGCAGAGGTCATTCCGATTCCTGCTCCTCCTAGCGAAGATGTTTACTACACATCCCACCCCAATCGCCGTTCAGATTTAGGAAAATGCTACGAAAAAACTTCGTTAGAATAAGGAATATCTTCCCGATGTTGAGCACGACGGTTTTTTCACCCTGCCCGGGAATTTTTTTCCCCTGCCCGAAAAAGCGTATGTCCAAACTGACCCCTGAGCGTATAGCGTATACACGATAGCGTATATACGATACGCGTATATACACTAAACGCATATATTCCAACATAGATTAAAAAGCCCGCGCGAAAGTGTGCGACATCATTTTCGCGTTGGCGAAGAGGTTGAGCAAGTGATAAACCTAGGCCCAACCGAGAGGAATGTGCACCCTCCCTTTTGACTGCGCATTGCATCGGGGTTAACAATGGGGCGTGCATGGCGCATGCATCAGCTGATGGCTACGATGGCCTTTTTGATGAGTTGTAACAAGCCGTCACCTCTCAAGGCCCAATGCACTAAGACTGTTTGTGCCAGCCTTGGACCTCAGGCACAAGTCGTTCTCATCTCGATCTCTCTCTCTCTCCCCCTCCCCATCCCCCCCCGCCCACCCCGCTCCCCCCACCCATCCCTCCGCCCGCCACCCTCTCCGTCCACGTGGACTGCCCTCTGCATGTGGCATGGCATCTCATCATGACGTGCACGGCATGGCAGGTGGAGGTGATGGCGTCCAAGAGCCACAGCAACCTGGTGCAGCTGCTGGGCCACTGTGTGGAGCACGTGCAGGCCACCAGGTGGACGGAGCAGATCCTCATCTACCGCCTCATGCCCAACGGCAGCCTCGAGCGCTGGCTCCGCAAGGACCCCGCCACAACGCTCACCCTGGCGCAGCGCTTGGATGTGCTGATCGGCGCGGCGCGTGGGGTGGAATACCTGCACAGCTTCGGCATCATGCACCGCGACATCAAGCCCGCCAACATCCTGCTGGACGAGCACATGCACGCCAAGGTGGCGGACTTTGGGCTCGTGCGCGTCAGCGAGGGCACCGCCGTGCACTCCACGCGCATTCAGGGCACGCCGGGCCGCGTGGACCCGGCTTACACTCGCACCAACAAGGTCACCACTGCGTCGGACGTGTACAGGTGCTGATTACAGCTGTGCACGTGTGCTGGTGTCCGTGTGCACGCTTGGAATGGGTGCCGAGTAGACGCACCCACGTGAGGTGCAACTTATCCAGCTGAATGTTGCATGCACTCCTTCCTCCACTATTCGGTTGCATGATCCACTCGTTGTGTGTGTGCACTGTGGTGGCAGCTTTGGGATTGTGATTCTGGAGGTCATCGCTGGGAGGCTATTGCCGTCCGACACAGTCCTGAACGACAGTAACATCATAAACTGGGTGAGGGACACCTTGCATGACTCCCATCTGTACTATAGTACACCGTGATCCCTACCGATGGCCTCTAGGTGTGTAGGATCATGCAAGGCGGCTTGTGTCATTATAGTGGCACTGTGGGGTGAAGGTGGTCGCTGCAGGACCACCGTGGTGGCTTTCATGCTTCGCTGCATCCATCTCATTCCTGCCCGCCCAACTTTGTCTTGTCCTCAACCTCCCTGCCGTCCATCTTCCTCCCTCCGCCACGCCAGGCCAAGAAGGCGCTGGAGACCAATGATCTGTCGTGCCTCAGGGATGCCAACCTGCACCCGCCCGTGCCCGACGACATCCTGCTGCGCGTTGTGCGCCTGGCCGTTCACTGCACGCTTGAGGAAACTGCTAGCCGCCCCAACATGTGGCAAGTGTGCAGCGAGCTCATAGGCATCCGTGAGGAATGCTTTGGCGCGGGCGTGAACAAAGCTGCGCACAGGGTGGATGACGAGGTGCGCTGGCAGCAGGCTCAGGTGGCTGTTCCACTGGACGAACAGCTGGACCTTGTCCGGCAGATGGGTTGAATTGAATTGAATCATCCACGCCTGGCAAGTGCCATAGTGAATAAAAAACTGGTGGTCGTTGAAACTTGGAAAAGGTACGCGCCCCCGGATTCAAGATTGGAAGAGAAGAGCATTCTATCACTTTCAAGCAAGGCACCAAAAGAAATGTACCATGCGACCGTGTCACGCGACGTACCGTCATCGCCCGGATATAAGACATATATGTATTATCTTGTACACTAAAAAAAAGGCTTGGGTTATCTTGTATTTGGGGTGGTTTTGGGTGTCTTATAAACTTATAAATGGGAATTTTTTTAAAGTACTTCGAAATATTTTCACACATCTTGAAAAGAGTTTCTCATAATGAGTGTGGATGTTGCGAAGGTGCCACTTTGGCAACCATTGTTCGGGACGCCACGTCATGGAGAACACTTGCAGTGGCAAATTCGGCAGTACGTGAGTCAGCACGTGGCAGAATTCGCGTGTCGCAAGGGTAAAAATGTACGCGATATTTCTATTTTCACTATAATATATTGCAGTTTCGATTATAAGACACATATGTCTTATCTCATACACACAAATAGGTGTCTTACCTATAGCGAGGCTAGCCTGTTTATAAGAGACACCCGTATAGTAGACAACCCCTGTCTACTATTCAACACTGTCTTATATCCAGGTGGATATGGTAAAGGTCTTGCTTATTTGTTTATGCCATACTTTTGTTTTACCCGAGCCCGGCCTTGGGCTTTGACTTTCGCGTAACCTCCAGCAGTTACCTCAACCTCCGAGGTTTGACTAGCCGATGCTTCATTATGTTTCGCCTCGTTTACGAATTAGTGTTTCGACACGACAGAGGCGCTTAAATCACTTGTTTCCAACACTCCCCTTCGCTTCTGGAGTGTCGCTGCTGTTGTGTGATGCTATCATTCGCATTCACGTCTGTCTGCCTCCCATCATGTGTTCGTGCGTTGCATGCGTGGTGTGAGCGTGTGCAAGAATTTGTGTTTTGTTCGGTTTGGATTTTTTGAGTGTGTATGAATGATATTTGGCTTGGGCAGATATCTGAAGTGACAGCTCTACTCAAGAGCTTTCCGACGAACCAAGAATCGTCGCGATCGGAGCAATATCAAGAAAGTTACGAACATTGGAGTTCGTATGCTTTCTGTACTTTGGTTGCGGCGACTATGGGAAGTTGTGGGGTTTGACTCCATAAGGGGTATAGACTTTTGTGGGTTGGGAAACTCGAACTCATCACTGTAGATGCTGCCTTGTGGTTGGGAGAAGCCTAACCAGTTTGGCAAGTGTGGCCAAGTGGGTTGAGGTGGATGGCATGAGTTGGGAAAGTGACAAATGTGAAAGTGGGGTTGCCTATGGAGAGGGGAATTGTGTGGCATGGGGTTTCCTTTGGTTGGGGACTCCTTGGGACCTTCCCTCTCGTCCTCCTCTTCCCTCCCACCTGGTTTAGTCCTACTCTAACTCTCTTTTGTGTAACTCTTGTGAACTTGTGAAACTATTGTGAGTGAGTTAAGTTTCTATGTGGCAGCATACCCCCTAGTGCGCCGAAAAGCATAACTCGAGATTTACTCCACCTTTTGATACGATTCAAATTGGGAATGATAGCCACGGTCAAGGGCTATAACATACTCGAGTTTGAGACAATTCTAACGATGCAATTTTAATCGGCGACGACGTTTCTTGTGAAGTCGCGGTTTCTGTCCAGAATTTGAAGCCAACGATTTTGAGTTATTTGGGCACCTAATCTTCATAGACTCTGTCTTCTAGTCTCTAACAAGTGGTATCAGAGCTGATTGAGGACTTTGTGGGGAGTCTACTGAAGTGTGAAGACCCTCCTAGACCCACCATGGCCTGTGGGCGTGCCTAAGTGGAGCTCTGGAGGTTGGGAGTGACTTCCGCTAAGGGGAAACTCTGCCGAAATTTCGTTGGCGCCGACACTTGTGGAAATGGTGTGGATCTACATTTTGACAAAGGGGGGAGCTGAAACCTCTGATTGGGAGCAGAGGAGATGAGTGGAGAAGCAGCTGACAAGAAGAGTGAACCGCCACCATCCAAGATCGAAGCTTTGGATGGCTCCAATTATGAGGAATGGAGCGGGCGGATGCGGAGCGCTTTCAAGCGCTACAAGCTGCTGAAACTTGCGATGGGAGAAGAGAAGATGCCGGAGGAAGGTGATGCCCGCGACCGATGGATTGAGCGGAGCGCGGTGCTGTACGACTTGATTCTACAGTCGGTCAACAACGACATGTTCCAGCACATCAAAGACCTAGTGGAGCTGGACGACTCCGGACCGAAGGCGTGGAAGCTGCTACGCGACGTGGTACAACCTAACACGCTGCCGATGGTGATTGTGTTGGAGAAGGAGCTGGCGGCCCTCTCCATGCGACCGGGAGATGATGTGAAGCCGGTCCTTGACAAGATCAAGGACACCTATGCGAGGATGGCAGCGGCGGGCAGCAAGGTGTCGGAGATGCAGCAGTGCACCAAGATCATCTCGGTGCTCGACAACTCGTGGGACAACCTCATCCCCACCCTCAACGTTCAGCAGGACAAGTGGACGCCTGAGTGGCTGCGGCAGCAGATTCTGCAGGAGGACTTCCGCAGGCGCCACACGGGAGGTGGTGCTGCCAACAAAACTGCTGAGGGGTATGGAGCTGCAGGAGGCAGCAGAGGAAGAGGGGGAGGGAGAGGCCGAGGCCGTGGGAGAGGCTTTGGCAGAGGGAGAGGCCGAGGTGACTACAACGAAGGGCATGGGAGCTCTGGTGGCAGGGGGAGCACCCGAATGGAGGGTGCGTGCTGGTACTGCAAGAAGGCTGGACACCCGTGGTTCAAGTGTTTCAGCCGGCCTGAGGGATGGGCACCTCAAGGCATGAAGTAGCCAAGTGGTGAACGCGCACGAGGTGGCGCTGTGCAAGGTTCAGGTGCACAAGGTGATAGTGCACAAGGTAAAGCCGACCCTGGGCTGTTCCTCATGGTTGAGGAAGTGAAAGGGAGTGAGGATGATGTGGGTTCGGTTGGGAAGGTTGTGATGCACCCCCTCACTCACTGGGTGATCGATTCTGGTTGCACGAGTCACATGACTCCGCGGGCAGATTTGCTCGATGAGGTGAAACCCCCTGGGAAGATCAAGTTTGTGGCTGCCGCTTCAGGTGCTTTGCTCCCTGTGATTGGTGTTGGGAATGCTAAGGTGATGGGAGCCAATGGGGGACTTGTGGGGCTTGGGAATGTCCTATTGGTTGAAGGTTTATCCGCTAACCTTCTTTCTGTGCGCCGGCTGCAGAAAAGCAAGGCCAAAGTTACATTCGGCCCAACCAGCTGCCGTGCGAAGCTTGGGAAGTTGCTGCTGTGGGATTTGGAGGAGAAGAGCAGCTGCATCAAGGACCTGTGGCAGCTGCCCATCATCCCTTGGAATGGGAAACCACCAGCAACAGCTAAGGCAGCGGCAGCGGCTAAAGCAACTGCGGGAGGAGAGGAGACTGCACCAACTGCTGGGGCCCTGGATGCAGTCAAGAAGGTGCAGCAGCCACAGCAACCACATGGTGAGGTGCTTGCTGGTGTGGATGCAACAGCTGCATGGGCAAAGGCTTCATCTGGGAGTGGTGAGGCCGATTGGGAGACGTGGCACGAGAGGTTGTGCCACATCAACATACCAATACTGCAGAAGCTAGTGAAGGATGGGAGTTTGAAGGGGCTGGAGGTGAAAGGGGCAGCAAAGGAGATTGGGAGCTGCCCTACATGCCTTGAGATAAAATTCACCAAGTTTCCCTTCAGCAGCAGCACGGGACCAGCCAAGGCGCCACTTGCGCTTGTACACATGGATGTGGTGGGCCCCACGAGGGCCACTTCGCTCTCGGGCAGCCGCTATTTCCTGACCATTGTGGACGACCACACGCGTGCGGTGTGGGTCTACCCTCTCAAGACTAAGGGGGAGGTGGCAGCGGCTGTTTTGAAGGAGTGGATGTCGAGAGCTCAAAGGGAGAGCGGAATCAAGGTGAAGGTGATCCGCACCGACAACGGGGGAGAGTTCATTGGCGCTGATTTTGAGGCGGTGCTGACGAAAAATGGGATTCAGCATCAACTTACAGTGCCCTACAACCCGCAGCAAAATGGCATGGCTGAGCGATTCAACCGGACCCTGCAGGAAGGTGCTCGCACTCTCCTTGGGCGTGCAGGGCTGCCGGATCCGTTTTGGGTGACTGCACTGAGGCAGGTCGTCGTTGTGAAGAACAGGGTGCTGGCGACTGTGGGGGACAAGCAGTGGATCCCCTACACCAAGTGGTATGGGAGTGCACCAGCAGTCAACATGCTGAGAGCGTTCGGCTGCATGGTGGTGTTTCATGTGCCGAAGGAGAAGAGAGGAAAATCTCAGCGGAAACGGGTCGTCAAGCCTGACGACCCTCTGACGACTTGACGACATGCTGCCCCGGGTAGAAAAAAAACTAAACCCCCATCGGATGGCATGCCATCCGAGGGAGCCTCAACCCTAAATCCATGCCTCCCCGTGTTTTAGGGTTGAGGCTCCCTGACCGGATGCATGCCCGTCTGGGGTTTATTTTTTTTGCCCGCGGGCAGCGAGCTCCCCCGGGCGGACTCGCTTGTCCGCTGAGATATACCATTCGGAAAGCTGGAGGCTTCTGGGAGATGGGGTGTGCACTTGGGGCTTGCTAAGGATCACAAGGGCTGGTTGATTTGGGACTTGACCAGCCAGCAGCTGACTGTGTCAAGGGATGTGAAGTTCCTCGAGTCCCTGTACTACAAGGAGTGGAAGCAGCAGCAGCAGAAGCTTCCCACGACTCCACTGATCATTGAGGCTGATGAGGTGCAGCTGCCCTCGAGGCAGGTGGAGGTTTCTGTCTCTGAGAAGGAGATCTCTGGAGTGACTGAGGATGGAGAAGAACCTGAGGTGGTGGAGCAGCAGCAGCAGCAGCAAAGTGCTCCACAAGGTGCCGCACGTTCGGCTAACCGTCCCAGGAGGGATGTACGCCCTCCTAACCGGCTGACCTATC